CCATTTCACAAAGAGCTAAACATGTCAAATAGAGCGATGTTTTCGAATGCAATGATTTTCTGTATTATTATTTATTTTTACTACATGTCGTGCTTGACCTTTTCGACATTTTTCTTCAAAGAAAACATCATTGGGCCTAACGTCAAAAATACACTAATGTTGTCTTGGAACAAATCTCGATTAATAGGATTAACTATATTTTGTGGGTTTTTTCACTTAGTTCAACCAAAGGATTACCCCTCAGAAAATCATCGATTTACTAGCACCGTTCTGAATCTAGCCCGCAATTCATGGATTTTGAGCACTGTTGAATCGTTGGCCGAATCTGAATTCCGGGCTCTCTTCAGTCTGGTAAACACGCGGATGAATACGCGACTGGATAGGCCTAGTCCCGTAAATGATCACCAGATCATCTATATTAATAATCACAATGTTATCTTCGTTTGTGCATGATATCCCAAATTATACACTTCTTAATTTTTGTTCCTTGTATGATAATTCCATTGGAACATTACCACCCTCGTGTCTCTCTTTTGGGTCATTCGTACGTCATTAAGGACAAGGACACAATACGGAAATTGACCTTGATGACCTTTATAGTCACATGATTTTAACGCGTATGTGTGCTTTAATTTTGGAGAACATAAATTTGACTTTTAGCTTCGTTATTGTGTTTTTGTCTCGGTAAGAATATGTTAAAGGACAAAACTAAAGTAGTGTTTTCCAACACTACCTCGTTTTTTGACCAAGTAGCGTGTGATGTGTGTGTCAGTGTAGCTGAGAAGCAGCCTCAGTACACCAAGGGCGGCTCTCCTTCACTCTATGGAGGCCCCGGTAGCCTGAGCTTTGTCCTCTTCTTGCTCCTTTATTTGTCCTTCATGCCCGTACAGAGCACAGCAAAGTGCAGCGTGTGCGCAGCAGGATCTGGTAAGGGGTAGAAACTTAAGCATGCTATATACCTCATTTCTACAGTTACGTTTGGTGTGTATAGCGTTGAAAAGGCCCTTTATTGGCCATCTTGCTTCCAGGAAGGAGCCAGTCTGAAAAGTGGGCATGCATGTAAAGGTTTTTGGGGTAATCTGCATATCCTTGCACTCAATACAGATTTACTCAAATTGGATACAACTGTAGCAATTCATATGTATTGCTAACTGCTTACTTTAAAACACCTATTGATAATAATTTTTAGTGAAAAAGTTCAAACCATTGCCAAACAATCTTGTTTACTTAATTTGTTGCTGCCAAGATAGCACTTTTCAACCCAGCTTTGGCACATTTATAATAAGAATCTAATTATCAGGCAGAATACCTCTTTTGATTAAAACCAAAATACAAGATATGAGCCCAAACTATCTTTTATTCTTCCATCCATTAGCATTCCACCCCAAAAAGGCTTTCAGTACCACATTTGTTGTGCTTGTTATTCCAAAGATTATTTTTATATTCATCTTACCTTTGTTCCTTTCCACATGGAATTGTGTCACGGACATATTCTTTTTTCCCTCAAACTTTTCCTTTGTTGAATCATGTGATGGCTTTATTTTGGTGCTAGTCTGTTTTTTCCCAGCTGAGTTATCTAGATTTTGGTGTAGAAGGTTGAAGAGACTTGTAAATTTGGGAATCTAGGGGACTAGGCAATGTATAGTTGAATGCAAGGGTATGCTTTGTCTCTAGGGTTGTACATAATGCAATCTGGGGCACCAGAAGAATACTACCACACACTAGAGGTGTGGGATCCGACTGCCCTGTCTTTAGTTGCCTGTGTTCCATGGCAGCTGATGCTTTATGCTGGCAGAGCTTTGTGCTCTGATTTTGTAAAGTTGACCCCTGATCGGAATTCAAGTTCGTGCTGGGCATCGATGGTGGCCAAATTTCTCTGTGAAAGTTTGTGCCTTTTGTGTCAGTTTTGGCATTCTAAGCTGTGTGGAGAAATTCTAGACCAGGCGTTGGACGAAGACTCTATGAAAGTGAAGGACGAGAAGGTGAACTGTAAGTTATTCATTGATGTTGATGTATTTATGTTGAAATTTTGAAAAAAGTCGAAACTGCTTTCTCAAACGAATTTTGAAATATCTTGCTACTTGTGCTATAGTTAACAAGTGATTTTTCTGTGTTAAATGTCCAGTTTCAATGGAATGCATCAAGGAGAATGCAAACAAGTCAAAGTTCAGATTTTAATGATCGTTTTAACTCGAATCACAATAGAAAAAAATAGTTGATGTTTTCGATTCGTAGGGGCAGACGCTAGCTACCATTTTCTCTGAAATCTTGTAACAGTGATACAATATTATTAGCTTTTGGGTCATTCATATGTCTTTATGTTTAGATGGTCACCACTTTGGGTATTGAAGACACCCTATGACTACCTGGTATTGAAAGTCTGGACTGAGTGACAACCAAAGCAGAACTACTGTAGAGACTGACCGCAGGCTACCTGGTTCTCCAAGACCTCGTTTGCCAAGGACCGGTCAGAGCTACCTATCACTTTGATAATGGACCAAAGCTGAACTACTTTAGAGACTGTCCACAGCCAGGCTACCTGCTTCTCCAAGACCTCGTTTGCCAAAGACCGGTTGGAGTTTCACTCTTAAAAATCGTGGGGGTTTCTGTAAAATCTGTTAGTACTTTACAGAGAATCTTTGCAGCAGACACACTTTGTGATTCTAAAGTGATTTTTTTTACTTACCACAGAACCTCGTAACAAGCATTGTAAATTACAGTTTTCCTCTGTAACGTGAATCATGATAAATTTGGTACACAAGACCACTTTCATAAGACCGTTTTTGCTGTATTTCAGTGTAAATGTACAGAAAAGTTGTAACCGTGGAAATTGTACAGACATTTTAGCAAACATTTTGTGTTGAAGTCCTTGCTGGTTTATTCAAATTGTGGATAAGAAAGATCAAATGTGACAATTTTACACTCTAAAATCATTGGGGAGTTTAGATTGCTGAAGACCAAGATCGACCTGGCGATAACCATCTAGTATTCAGTAAAAACGCAAATATGTCCTGCCAATGTTAGGTATTTGTGATCAGAAGATATTGAACATTGTCTAAACTTGAAATCTGACTATTGAAACCTCTCATTTTATTTTATATTTTTAGGTTTGGAATACATTTGTAAAAACTTTGGAAACAAGTTGTAAACAATAAACCATACAAAAAGAGTAATATGATTTGTTGTCCTCGATTGTTTGTAAATTGTCCCAGTTGTCCAGTTCTGAACTGTGACACATTGCATCAGACATTTTTTCCCTCCTTGGGAAATATTTTGCTGAGAATCAAACAGGCACCCTAGATTAACAATTTCAGCTCTCTGTAGCGTAAGACATTTCTGAAGTGTAGATAATTCCAGGTTGCAAAGTGTTTATTACTTGTAATTGTTTCGTTGTCTTTTAATGATCAAGTGCGTATATGTATAACGGTGAGCCCAATATATTGGTAGATTTGTTCATGCTATTTTTATTCTAACAGCGAGTAGAAATCTCAAAATATGTTGCCCTAAGGGTCATATCCAAGGCAACGTCCCTCTTGGGGTGAAAGGTCTGATCTTGCTTTCACCCCTGCATTTACCCAGCATCTGTTTTTCTCAAGAACTCTTATTCCAAACATACATGTACATGTAAGTGGAAATCACTATATGCACACTTTCGTCAGTGTTCCCATCATAGGCCTACCTATTTATTGAAGTGTCAAAATGACTTTTGTCACAGCAATTCTTTCAACCTGCTATAAACTTCAACTCTCTCATAATTAGACTGTGTTTCAATATTCTTAGGAATTCCCAGGAACAGTCAAAGCTTAGGTTCCTAACTTTCATAGTATTTATTCCACTCTGTCTACCTGACACAAAGTACAATTACAAATACCGTATTTAAATGTAAAACTTGTGACTCCTTGGGAATTTGTGTTGACTTTTCATTCGTGAAACTTAAAACTTCTCAACAGAAGTGTTTTTGCCGAGCAGTTTATTAATCGTGCGTCGTTGTGTTCGTTTTTGAGTGAAAGTAACACCTTTAAAAATTGCCAAGTCTTTCCTCTCCCAGTGCTGCAGAAAGGGGTGACTTTCTCCAATAGATTTTCCGGAATTACCAACACAATAACTCTTCAAACTTGCAGGTTTGATGCAACAACAACCCCCACCCCATTTGTTGCTTAAACGCGATAAAGTGACCCGATTTGATTCGTTATATTAAAGTGGTGGATACCCAAAACCATGTGTTTCTTAGTAATTTAGCAGGAAACTTTTTCTTGACTGGAGATTGCTAATTAATTTCTCACAATATCAGGTCATAAAGAAATGTAGAAAAAACGAAATCTGAAACAAGTTGTTCAGGTTGACTTGAAATGTAGGTATACAGATAACTACCCTACCGCTGGTCACAAATTATGTCAGGGCTAAACAATTTTTATTTTTAAAGTTAAAGTGATATTTTCTATTTCCCCTTGGGCCTATTTTTTAATTGATACGTGTATATGATTTTATGCTGTATTATTTTATGGATAGAGTCCAGAGCGGTAAACATTATTGTGACAATTGAACATCTGAACAGGTCCTGTATAGTTTTTGTTGGTGGATATGATCAGTACTTAGTGGCTGAAGACTGGCCTTTGCATACTGGCTTTGTAGTTGATGCAAGTTATTGTAGGTGATGTGGGCAATGTAGTTGGTTAATAGGAAAGAGTGTAAGTGACTGATGGTCCTCGATCAGGAGAGCGGGAAGCTAGGAATCTGTGGAACAGTTGTCCTTGGGCATATTGTAGTTCATATTCTCAGATTCAAATAAAAAAATCAGTTGCTAAAATGTTTGTAGATCCATTGTTCACATCCATTTGAACATTTTGACACACAAATTTGACTATTTACCTAGATTTAAGGTACTCTAACTTTTACTTGTAATTAGAAGCACTCTTGGTCGAACTCGTACTCTGAGATACAAGCGCTTGTACTTGAAAATTAGTTTTTGTACTTGGCAGGTAAAGCACTCGGACTATACTCAGCAATTTAAGTACTTGGAAAAGTACTTGACTTACAACCGTTCGAAATTGACAAATTAAGGGTTGTGAAATTAACCGCAGCTTTCATTTACTTGTTTCACGTTTGGTTTGTGCCTGAAGTTCATAAAATCAAAGAAAACATAGCAGCCTTGTCAATGGTCATCAAATTGAAAATTTTATTTTGCGCAAAATCGCTACAGGGAATTCTGGGTGAGCACAGAACGTTCTTGCGAGATCCACTGCACGACTGTGTTCTACTGCCCCTTGAAATGAAAAAAAAAGCCAAAAATACTCAGTAAATTTAGCTGTGCATCTTATGTAACTCCGATAATTCATGGCAGCAAACTTCATCGAGCAGTAACCTTTAATATTGCAGTCAACCCATACCCATAAGGTTACAGAGATGTACAATCCTGCATATTATTATATAGATGTGCGTGCGTCATTGTGCTGGATATGACGACACTTTCGCGTCGATATTGGTACGTTAGGCCCCCCTATTTGAAGTCTAAAATCCATTCTCATTTTTAACTCATAATTTTGGACAGAGGAAATCATATTTGGAAAAACGGGAAGTTTCTTGTCTTGAAATCGTTGATGTTGGCAAAAACCCTTAGCTGTGCATTATGGCGATACGGCCGCCATGTTACGGTTTGGACCATACCATTATGCTTATGGGGTGATATTGGGATGGCAACATTTTTATTCGTCGGGGAAATCCCTCTTCGTAGATACAAAATGCGTTTGGGAATTCCACGGGGCCGTTTTTGCTGCTTTGTTTTGTAAAACTACGTCCGTTTAGCAGAAATTTTTCACAGAATGACTAAGACTGCTTTTAACTTTCTCTCAACAGCTTATGATAAAGTAGTGACTAATATTTCATCAAATTAGAGCTATTTTTACATCCCAAGGGATCCCAACCACAGGAATTATAAGCAAACACAACAGTGCATAGGAGCTCAAACAATTCTAAGCCATGTTCTAATCCACGTCTTCCATTGACAATCGTCAGTCATAATTTTCTATTCCAAAATTTGTATCTGTTACATGTCACACACAAAAATGCAAAACATTTCCCTGAATGATTTTTTTTTAGGTATCTTGGTGAAATAAAGATTATGCAGTGCGTTTCTGTCCACGGCTAGCCCTGTTGACTTGCCGTAAACGAAACATTGACATTCACGGTGAAAGTACGCGACGTAACTGTCATGCCGCGTTAACCAAGAATCTGTAATGCGCACTTTAATGTAAAGGTCAGGGTCACGTCTAAGAGAAAAGTTCATGCCAGAGCGAAGTAGACCTAAACACAATAGGAAATGGTTGGGTTACTTTAGTTATATGAAATAGAACCTAGAATTTGCCTTCCCGAAATTATTCCTAGCTTCGATTAAGATAATCAATTAGTATTTCTCAAACTGTGACCCAAACTTGTCGCCTTTAAAACCAATGCTAAAATGGAAATTAATGAGAACACCGGATTTTTACCCATTTGATGAGCTTAGTGTACGCTAGTTTTCTTAGGGTAGTAAAAGATATCACGAAAATAATATGAATTTGGACGTTATTCTATCAGATCATCAGTCATTAGAAACCAAAATTGGATACCAGTTTAAATATCTTGATTTCTTTAATTTCTCCAGTCCATATATTGGGGGAAAAATTGCTCACATTGCGATATTCAAAAATAAAATTCCCAACACGGGCGATTCACAATAGTGCGTCTTCAAAAGTTTGCGACACACGCACCTCGGTCGATCACAGCGCTCAAAATCTGTCGACCCTTTCCAAACGTGCTTTGGGTCGTCTTTGAAGGTGCACTACTTTGTAACGCACGTATTTACAGTGGTTTTTACAAAACAAGTATTTTATCACAAGATACTGTGCCGTCAGTGTTCAACAAATACACAACTGCTTTCAGATTGACTAAATCATACCCCCCCGGCAATGACAAGGTCATGAAGGCTTAATAGCAAAGAACATGGCAGGAGTTTATTTCGCAGTTTTGTTAGAGTACAATTCTTTTGTTTTTTTCATTCAGGTGAGAAGATTGAAAATATCTTTGGGCTAACCAGGGACGGTGGCTACGCACAGCTTGGGATATGGCATCAAATTCCGTGTCCAACGTTTCGGCGTGGTGAGAAATTAGACGGCGTCGTTTGGTACAAAGGATATGTCGTAGGTGACCCGTCGACGGTTCGTCTAATCAGTCACTCCGGCAGTGGTAACTACCCTATCAGCGACAGATACGCCTTCTCTGCTGATTTCAGCCTCCTTATAAAAGGCATCGAAGGGAGTGACGAAGGCCATTTCTTGTGTCAAGTTATCCCCAAAGAAACCGGATTTAGGGCTCAAGGAATAAACTTGCAAGTTCTTGGTAAGGTCATTCTCTCTTCGTGTAGGTGTAAGTATCGTATTAAAGGATATTGAATCAAACAGTTTGATGGGGCTAATTTAAAATGTTATGGCGTGCTGTAGTTTTTGCACTGCACATTCTTTGTATAAAAATGGTTTCGGTTGAAATAAATCATTACCTTGACAACACGACCCTCTTCTTGCTTAATCATAGACATGTCATTTCCTGCAAGTCCAAATGACACTTCAGGCTCCACCACTCTTCACAGAGGACGCAGGCAGACGCTACCATGTCAGTGCATGTCACAGTCACCCGACGCACCATCCGTAGTGTATTGGTCAATGGGAGAGGGCATCACTACAGATACAGAGATCATTGGTGCACGTTTCTCTGATGGCGTCACCCTGCAAATCCAACATGGCGCTGATTACAGCATTGATAGCGACGCTTCGCTTACAGTCAACTCCCTGAATGTTGTACATGATAACCAGCGATTCTGGTGTCATGTATTTCAGTCAGATGGGACGCTTAGAAATTGCTACATAGATAGCCAGTTTAAAGGTAATGTAAGTTATATCTATTATCTTTTGACTTAAGGCTTTCATGAAATACTGGTGCTGAGTGTTGGTCATTTCATTTCCTTATTGTGTAAAGTACCACCAAGTTCGGCCACGCCACAATTGCGCAAAACTTCTTTGTTTGGGTACAGAATATCCTTGTTCGCAGAACCCGGATGTATCCTAAACATCCGTCCAGTACAGAATTAATATGGCTTCGAAAATTAGACTGCATTTAAGACCAAGAAGTAATGACTTCATTACATGAGATAATTTTTCCTAAAGATCAAATCACAGTCAACATCATCTGTAAAATCTTTAACAGCACCTTATTATGAATCCTCTTCGAAAATGAAATTGTGCATAGGACCTACACTCAAAATGGATCTCAGTATTTCACTTTTTGAATAATCTTTGTCCGACGTTATTAAATCCACTGATAACGAAGTCTCACACTTTTCTTTATTACAGACCAGCAACAGCCAAAAGTTGGCCTTTTGAAGGCATCTGAATTATCTTTCTACCTGCAAGAAGGCAGAGAGCAGGTACTCCCCTGCCATGGCTGGTCGACAGGTGACACGTTTTGTGAGGCCAAGTGGCTTAAGCTCGACCCCGCAGATCAACAAGTTGTCGTCAGTTACAACCTGTCGACCGGTGCTGTAGATTCCTATTTTGGATTCAATCTTGCCACTGACTTTGGTTTGGTGATTAGATCAGCGCACGACGAACACGCAGGATTGTACCAGTGTGGAGTTGGAAATGACACCATCGAAGTCCAAGTGATAGGTGTGCAGGCAATTTTTCCTTCAGAAGCTTGTTGTACAGTAAACTTTTCCCAAACTCCCTAATTACTAATGACCCATAAGGGAGAATTTTTAACCTTGCCAAAAAACAAAAATGAAGGAGTTATTTTCCCATACCTTTTGTTTGCAGGGAGGAAAGTGTTTCTCACTTTCTTTTTACCATTTCACAGGCAAAGACTTGGCAGTTGGTTATAAGAGTACATGGGTAATTCCAGAAATTAGGGGTCCAAAAGTGTGACATTTTTGTGTCCCTGTTTCATCTGATCTTTGTTATTTGACATGGAAATATCACCGTAATTGATTTCAAACTATTACTATTTTTGGCAAGTACATGTACATGTGATTTGCATTAATTCATCACTCTTGGAAATTGGACAATGTATTCTAACTGACAAAATCATATGTCATACGTGACAGGGACACAAAAATTGGACTTATAATTTCTCGAACCATTCAGATGTATATTCGAAATAGACATCTCAAAATGTAACATGGGGGTTGAGTACCTATTTGTGAGATTATCATCATTAGCAGACTAATAGTATACACCCCAAAACCGGACATTGCACACTTTCTATATATTTTTCTGTTTTTCCATGGAATGGTTGATACAGGAAACCTTTTCCCATTGGATGGTGGCCGCACTATTTCCCGTGAAAGTGTGACCGCTGAGCTGGGTGAAGATTTTAAACATCGGTGCCCTGCTGTACTGCACATCTCCGAAGGGACCAACGCCACTTTGTTCTGGTCATTTGGCTTGCGCACTACGCAGAAGGCCACTGTGATTGGTACACTGACCCTACCCGGGCGTTCAAAGACGATGTCTGACGGTGCGGAATCCGTAGGCTCCTTCAGCATATCCCCAGAGGGATTCCTTCAAGTGGGCAATTATAGCATATACGGTGACATGAGATACTGGTGTCATATTTTCACAGAGGAGGGGCTTTTACTTCGGTCCTATGTGGACGTGAAAAGTTATTTGGCGGAAAGTGAGCAGCTATTGACTTCTAATAGCATTTGGGGTATGTACCTCAATTTATTAAACAACAGTCGTTGACATATTCTCCTTTTCTATCAACCTTCCATAAGGCACCCATTTGTACTTTACGTTTTATCTTCCCATCTTCATTCCCCCAGATATTATGTCACCTCATTTTAATTTACAAATCCTTCCAATTTAAACCACTTTTCATTGTTCCCTGTCGCCCCCTGCTTTATATATTCTCCCTCCACAATAAAACCATCTTCCAGTTAGCCTGAAGCCCTAAACGTGTCATTCATTCATTTTTCATCAACTTACTGCACTTTGTGGTTTTTAAGATTCGCACTGTACACTTCACCCTTGACGACTATTGCGTCCGTTGTTAATTTATTCTGGTGGAAGGTTGGTTGGTGGAAGTAAAAGTGGGTGAAAAAACCTTTTGCAGTCCCTCAGATCCGAAATTCCCTGTGTTTTCTTTTTTATGTGGTGGGAGCTTCCTGACAGGGATGGTAGCGTGAAGAGGTATTTTGTTGGATAGAAATGGAAATCAAGCAATTAAGGCTGCATTCGAACCTGTTGTCCAGAGCTAGCTCTAGGTCTTCATGCTATTGGAAATATGCGGCGAGACGCACAGACACTAGACCTAGCTGGAGCTCTGGAAGCCCTATACCCAGCAAGAAATGAGACCGAGGGGTACCCCCTCAACATGTCCAATCCCTATACACATTCCAGACTATTGTTACTTAAC